TTTACAAATATATAAGTTTACATGACACTCAGGTGTCATGTGTATGTCAACGGGTCCGATCCCGCACGTGGTCCGTGTGACTCGTTACACAGCCACCGCACTAACTGTGCAGTTAATGCAATTACTTTTAATGCAGATGAATAGAATGGACTAACGATATATATGAAATTGTAAGCATAATAATAAATTTACACCACTTTATATATTTGTGAGTATGAGTAAAAATTTCATAGAATTGTATCTTTTTTTTTTAAACCGTTGCCCCACACTTCTGTACTTTATGTGCGATAATAATTAACTTATGAATTTTTCTGAGGGACCATTAAATGTTGTACATATATTGTTTTATTGTCTTAGTTGAAAAAATACAACCGTACGTGTCACGTCTTTGGATCATGTCTCACTCTCATTGTGTGAATTAAGCCTAAGATACTAGTGGGAGTAAATAAGGATTGTCTTTTGTAAACAAGCCTAATTGATACTTAGTCTTTGTGTAATGGTTTGATGGTTTTCTATCAACACAAGTATCTACAGCTTATGCGACGTACGTGATTTTGGAGCTAATCCAGAAATAAGTTGGTCATTTTTCCTTTGTGAGAAAGATCAATTGGAATCAGATGTGACGTTATTATTATGTGGGTACTTAAGTGTTGATACGATATAGTTGATTAACTATGTACATCCTACAGAAATTCTTTCTCATCGTCGATAATTAGTTATAAGCATAAGCCCTTATGCTTATGCTATTGACGAAATCTGCATGACTCCTTTGACGAAACATTTTTTTATTTACCCATAACTTAACAAAACATAACATCACGCCTTTTAATCCCCGAAGGGGTAGGCAGAGGTGCACATTACGGCGCTTAATGCCACTATACAATGTAGGTAACTCACTTTTAACTATTTATGTTATGAGTCCCATGTAATAAGGGGTGAGCCTATTGTCATATACCGGGTAGAATTTCAGACTTCGTGCTACTAGGTACGAAGATTTTATTTAAAAACCCAGTACTACTTTGCGAACCCGGGACCCGAGAGTTGCCCGCCAGTCGCATTTGCGACCACTCGGTCAAGTAGGCAGTCTCATAATGATAACTTCTCATACATATTTATGCATTCTCTTTATCATTCGACATAGATTAAAATATTATGTTTTCGGCTTACTCACGTATTCGTCGCGCTGCTACTGAGAGTCGCCGCGTCGCGGGTCGCGAAATGCTGCTCATGAATATGAGCCTCTAGCATGGCTTTAAACTAGTCGAGTTCCTCGTCAAATAATTACGTGAGTAAGCCGAAAACATAATAATTTATTTAGTATGTCTCACGAAAGTTACAATACAAATATAGATTCTACTCTTACCTTTTCAATATCAAGTTTATATAGCTGTGGTTCTTCATCAGGCGCCACGCCGTCCAGTTCTGTCAAGGGTAGAATGATGTGGCCAATCAGCTGCTTTCCCTTGCCAACCCTGCCTATGTCCAGGACTGACAACTTCAGCGTGAGACTCTCTATCTTGCCTGGTGGAATCTGTCAGGGAGAATGGATTGCAAGTTTTGTATTTTATGCTGTATGGTTTATATTTGGTTGGGTTAGGTTAGCTTTTCTTGAGGTTTTGTTTGTACAATATTTTTTTATTAGTCAATGATATTATAATCATCAATTTGAGTTAATTATTTGTTTTTACATTCATTTTATTTTCCATTTTATCAGTGTCATACACACGATTATTTCCTAATACTAATAACCATTGTAATCAAATATTAGTAATATGTATTATTTGAATAATAATGTTAAAATAGGGATAAAATTCAATGTTGATTAGTTACTTTATTTGTTTCACGCTCCAATTAAATTGTGTGATTCAATACTCGTTTGACAAACATTTCGATGAAACATAAACACAATGATGTATTTTTTTTATTTAATCATCTACATAAGATATTTTGTTATTTTTTGAGAAAATTGTCATAATACCAATGTGTAATGGAAACTCATCATAATAAACAGTTTTGTTAGGTTTTTAGTATGGAACACTTTGAATTCGAAAATAAGTCTATCTTTGTTACATAATTATTTCATAGTATTTCGTAAAAAGCATACAGAATGATAATGTATTTGCAACTAATATGTGTACTATAAGTTTTGATCAAACTTTGAGACTTGCCCCCCACATAGTACTGAAGCTGGCTGGTGGTGATACTTTATTTATTTATTTATTGTTACTTTTTTACCAAAAATAACAGTGAATGGCGGATAGGTAAGTGCATTTCAGACTTCGAGAATTATCTGATCTCTTGATTTTTCTTTTATGCTACACAAATACATAGTAAATATATATAAACAAAACAAACTAAGCAAAATAGAACGCATCATTCCATTTAAAGACGGTTCGAGAATTTCGGCAATTAACCGCTAATGAGTAAAGTTGGAGATTCCGATATACATATGTACAATGTACATATAAACTTTACCTATGTATGTGTACATACAAAGTTTCAAAGTTCTTACGAACTGTATGGGTTTGAGTTTACATGGGTGTTTCTCGAAGGTTATTGATGAGAATGTTTAGATGTAAATTATTTTGTTAATATTTTGTTCTGGTTTATTGATTGATCAGGCTAAATCGCTACTGCTAAGCTCCTTAGGAGATACATAACATAACATTACGCCTTTTTATCCCCGAAGGGGTAGGCAGAGGTGCACATTTTGGCACTTAATGCGACTGTACAATGTAACACCCACTTTTCACTATTTATGTTATAAGTCCCATGTAATAGGGGGTGAGCCTATTGCCATATACCGGGCACATTTCCAGACTCTAATCTACTATTACTGAGATTTTTTAAAAACCCAGTAATACTTTGCTTGACCCGGGTATCGAACCCGAGACCCCTTGCCGCACTTGCGACCACTCTTGCGGCCAACGAGGCAGATAGGAGATCTTTGGGCATATATGTATTAGATTTTAGGGTCGATATGGTAATCATTGTTGGTTGCTGTCCATAGTATCGACTCAAAATTGCAGTCCAAAATTATGTTTTTTTTTTATGGTATAAGCCGGTAAACGAGCAGACGGATCACCTGATGGTAAGCAATCGGCGTCGCCCATAGACACCTGGAACACCAGAGGCGTTACAAGTGCGTTACCGGCCTTCTGGATTAGGAATTTGAGATTCAGGGATTGGAGAAAGGGGGAGAGGGGGTAATTGGGCCTCCAGTAACCTCACTTATACGAAGAAACACAACACAACGTTGTTTCACGTCGGTCTTCTGTGAGGCCGTGGTACCACTCCGGTCGCCCCTATTCATGCCAAAGCATGGCTCTCCCACACTTATGATATGGTAAGTTTTGATATTGTTATTTTATACTTTGAAATCGACTTACAATATGACTGGTAAAGACTAGCTAGTATTTATAGTCACATTAATTAACGCTTGGTCTTTTGTCAACCTCTTCTCTTCTTCATAAACATAATGTTCGGTTTATTAGAAGATTCAATATGAAAATGTTTACGTTTAAATTATTCAGTTATTATTAGTTGCTCAACTTTCTAGTTGCGGTCACAGCTGGCCACTTGGTCGGTCAGTTGTTAACTTGGACGTTCAAACATCGAAATGTTTCGAGGTTTATTTTGGGAATGAACTACTAATGTTGTTATAAATAGTTTTCAAAAGATTGTATTTTAACTAACAAAGTTCTTGGCTACCTACGTCATCAAATTAGAATATGATTAAAGAGTACTGTGAACATAGGGACATATGTGAATCTTCTGATATCTAATATCAGTCTTCTGTCGAGATAGATGATTCAAAAGGCTTCCCCTACGACAAAGATAATTGTGTTCTCACATAATATCTAACCTATAACCCCTGTTAAAAGCTTCCCGTACATAAATTGCTGTTCCTATCTACCGATAGCTAAAATTTCCATTAACGTAATTAAATCCTCGTCAAAGTGATGTGATATTCGACACATTTCGTACCCGAAAATCCACCCTCTACGTCCGAAATTGACTATAATATGAGCCAATCCTTTCACTGATAACAGATTGCATGCAGCAATTGATTTTAAACTCAATTACGTGTGCACTTTAGCATTAAATTAGTAAGCAAAATCAGTAGGACAAATTAAATAAAATAAAATAGGAGATTTTATTTTATATAGAACTCTCAACAATTTGAGAACAAAAGTAAATAAAGTGATTGAATGAAAACGTTAGTGATTTGTTTTAACAATGGATGAAATTAATATTTGAATTTCGAATTGTTAAAATGATTCGCTATTATATTCTGTTACGTAACCTTTAACCTAAAAGTAAACTTGTGTTTTTAGGAGTCGATATACTCGCGTACAGTTATTACAGTGATAGTATTCTACGAAAACGCGGAGAAATACAGTGGCCTCATTTACAACAGTGATTGATTTTAAATATCTGCAATATTTTGTATTATTCTCAGTTTTTAGTTGGTGCAAACTTACAAGTTATCATTTGTAATGACAAAAGGTCTACCTGGCGCAACAACGTTTTGATTTCCTTATTGTATACATTGAAAATATATTATAGTTTTAAAAATATTTCCATGAATAAGCAGTTGTCTGTACAACAAATATGTACTTGAATACTTACTTGATAAACAAATGTCTCATCAAAGAAAGGGTTACAAGTCTTCTTCTTTTGTTTCGTCTGGAGTACTCGCCTCTCATCTGGCATCAACTGAATCCTGGAGAAATTAATTTATATTAATTCTAAAATAATTAAACACTATACTAACTAGAGGTGAAACTACGAAGTTTGATTGTTGACTCAATCCCAAACTTTGTAAACTCACATAAAGCTATTTTAGTTGACCGTCTAAAAGTCAACCGAAATATATTATTCAGGAATAGAATGGATGCTAAAAAAATCTTCAACAAAAAAATGGTTCAGCTATTCTTTCAAATCGTGATTTGAATGAATTTGCCTTTTTTGTCGTCGAACCTCTCTAATCAATTTATTATTCAGATACCATTCATTGTAAAGTCGCAAAGCGTAGGTGTTTTCTGTTCTCCGACCTCTAGTACAGGTAAGCTAAAGCCTGAAAAATCTACACAATACATTTGTGTCAAAGGCCGTTTAAAAATGAGGGCGTAACATTAATTACATTAGTGACAATCACTTACTTGATATAAGGGTCGCACGCGTTGGCCAGTGCGGGGGTGCGTGAAGGTAGGTGCTTCGCTTTTATAATATGCACCTGTAGCCTTTCTGTCCCCGCCTCGTATTTCAGAGTGAACCACACTCGACCCTTGGGAAATTAAAGCATAAAGTCATTTAAAGCATGTCATATCAATAAGTCACATAATTGAAGTGACATTTGGTAAGTATCATGTTGATTGTTCATTTTATTTTACGCGGTCCGTTTTCTATACCTACTAATTGAAATCCACGTTTCGTTCACGTTTGGATTGACGCTATTCAAAATATTTGTTGAGTACCTTAATTGAATTACTTTACAAAGCGACATAGAAGGGCCTGTCTTTTTGATTGAATCTAATTGTTTTCTGCAAAATTTCTTACTTGAACAGAAGTTTGTATAAGATAAGGTAGAAGTTTCGTTTGGATTGAGACACGCTGTTGTTCGAATGAAAAAACTTTGTTGAAAGCAGTACCCGACAGACCCGTATGTTTCATACAATTTACGCTTTATTCGACGCGCTATCAAATAAGGACCGTCGTGTCGTAAAAACGTGTCACTTTTACGCGAAATTAAAACGGATGAGAGTCTACTTATCGGTTCACATCGAAACACGTTCTCAATTATTTATAGAAGTTTCTTTTTGAAATGCTTACGTCACACTAAGTGACACAGCAATAAAGATTATTAATTTAAAGGTATTATTACCCTGGCGTCCGTAATCCTATAATTCAAGGTAGGTTTATTAGACCGACATTATTTGATACGGTTTGATTGATGATGGCTTCATTTTAATCTACAAATAGAATATTTGAACATTGTGTTCGTACCTAGTTATCCGAAAATATGTTAGCTCAATCTATTTGACGACTGTATCTAATATTTATAACAAAATGTCCCGAGGATAAATTTTTGATTAGAATGAGCTTTCAAAAGAAGTGATAGTGTAGGTAATCTCTTTCTTACAACAGACATTTTTCTATATAAAATTCATTGTGTTCTGTGTTGCTTTTTTAACTCTTTTTATAGGAGATCATCCGAGGATTACTTTTCTATTTCCGACGTTAGCATTTTTCTTCTCTGTTCCGGCTTTTTATGTGCTTATGTTCCTGTACCTACTTGTAATTACCGGTTCATAGGAAATGACTGTTAATATTATGAGGATTATACACAGAGATGGCGCATTACCTATGCTCGACGTATTTACCGACACTTCTGGGAGATGGGTATCAAATTTCTTTTTAATTTTAGCCTTTTTAATTATTAGTGTTTAGTACAATACTGAAGTCTACCTTTACTTAACGTAAAAAAAAATGTTTCACCTCGTGAAAATACAAGTAAGCATTTTCTTCTAGAATTGTCTTCGTAACATAAAGAAAACTTTATCTTTGATGGTATGACTCAGATCAATATGTCTCTCTATAGTCACGAGCCACATCTGCGATGCATATAACTTTATACGGTCAAGCCAGGCTACAACACAATATAAATAAATTCATCCCATCGTTAATACGCAAATATCTTGTTCTGAGATAGCCAATCTTTATAGCTGGAGGCTATAAATTTAAATGTTGTTTCAATATGAATAGGGTCGAAAATACAGTAAAACTTCAAGTACATAAATATTCATGGAAAGTTGTTAATTTGTCTGCGGTCCGGCCGAGGGCTCGAAATATTTGCACAGATAATATAATGGCATCGCTTGTTATGAGTTTTTGTTGAGGTGAAAGTTTAAGACGTTTATTTAAAAGGTCATTTGTAAATTATTCTTTTTTCTTTCTTTCTCTTTTGCGAAGTTTTATGTGAGTAGCTTAAAGTTAAAGTGTTTACGTTTATGGATAACAAATTATTGTGATTTTTTGTTTTCAATTCTTTTCTGCGTAGTTATTTATTTATTACTATAACGTTTTAAAGCATAAATTTGATTGTTATAACTTCAACTTAAGGAAGTAGAGGTACATTTAAGTTTTTTTTTTGGTAATACCACTCGTAGTTTAGCACGCTAAGGCTGATGACTACTTAACTGGACTGGTATATTTCAGTAGTGTGTAACTGAATTATACGCAGATGTTGTACAAAGATCACGTTGTCGTTTCAATTTTTTTAAGTTCTAAAGTGGCGAAAATGCGTACAACATTTTGCTAAATATGTAGAAAATCTACTGTTTATGATATACTAGCTGACCCGGCGAACTTTGTTCCGCTTTAACGGCAATAAATAAGCTTTTTTTATTGGAAAAAATACCTACATTAATCATTCATTATTATTTCTGTATTTTAGTACATAGGTTGCTCTTCATTTAAGTACCTTGTGATATACGACATTTTTTGATATACATAATATCAAGTGCAAATACAAACAACGCAGGTGGTCTTCCGACCCGTGAACATGCCACGTATTGACCATAGGAAAAACATGAATGTTTTAGATTTAAACCACAAACTTTTAACTTAACTTTAACTTTAACTTTTTGTTGATGGTCATGGCAAATGCAAGACGTTTCGGAAATTGAAGTCTTTTAAATTCAAACGGCATATCGGTTGGGATCATCGGGATCCATTAGGGCGGAACAAAGTTCGCCGGGTCAGCTAGTTATTATTATTATGCAGTTGTACTGAAGATAGTTCTTTATAACTTCTGGGACCCTGGTATATTATGCAGATGTACTGTAGAAAGCTCTTTATGACTTCTGCGATCCTGATGCAGTTGTACTGTAGATAAGCTCTTTATGATATCTACGACCCTGGTATATGCTCTATATATTTCCATCTCTATATATTTCTCTCTAAGTTTGTATCGAGCATTTCGTAATTTTCGAGAAATCTATAATTAGTATCATATTTATGACCAGGAAAACATCGGGTACCAATTCTTTTTTATCATTAGTTAACCTTTCAATACTTTAAAAGAACGCGAGCGAAACCAGGGGGCAGAAAATAATATGTATTTGGTTAATTGAATTCGTATTTATTCTTTAAAATATCTGATTCTGATGTACCTAAATACTATTATTAGTCCTTGAAAACAGTTTTCTATTGGCAGTCAAAGGCAGTATTTTCACACATCGGGTTACATTATCTAAATTTTCAAACGCTGTCGAACGGGATAAAAAGTATCCTATGTCCGTCTCCTGGCTCTAAGCTACCTCCCTACCAATTTTCAGCCAAATCTGTTCTGCCGTTCTTGAGTTATAAGTGGTGTAACTAACACGACTTTCTTTTATATATATAGATGTAGATAAATTCTAAGCGAAATTTTGATATTTTAACGTAACCTCGTTTCAAACTCACAACTCAGGCATTGCGTAATAAGATTTAGGGGTAAACTAATCAGCGTTTCTCAAAGTTAGTTAGAATGCGGCGCCCTGCGGTGTTGTTCTGGGTTATGAAGTAGGCTCCAGTCTTTTATGATGCGTCTTCACCGCACGAACCCCACGCCTACATTGGATAATATTATACGCCATATTTTATGTGTTAGGTACGCCTTACGAAAAATTGTAGACGTCACATTTTAGGTGAAATGTCGCGAGCAAAAATTATGGTGATAGACTTTGTTATAGGCCAGATGGTTTTCTTTTAAATGAATGAATTTGTTACGATCATTTTGTGGTAAAATGTCTGTCTAATGTTTTACACGTTTTGTTAAACATTTTCTATTTGTATTCTTATTTTTAAAACTTATAAAAAATCTGAACAGTATGCCGTATGTATGCAGTACCTTTTAATCGACTAGCATGACGATATATTAAGGGATAAGCAGTATCATGTAATAATATTAATATGAATCTCAAAGTCATTGTACTACAAAATTAAGTTGATTTTTTATAGGGCATTGACACTTCATAGGATGTGAAAATATTTTGACTGCCTCGTTGGCCGAGAGGTTGCAAGTGCGACTGCCAGGCAAGGGGTCTCGGGTTCGATTCCCGGGTCGGGCAAAATATTACTGGGTTTTTAAAATACTCATGAGTAGCACGGAGTCTGGAATTGTGCCCGGTATATGGCAATAGGCTCACCCCCTATTACATAGGACTCATAACATAATTAGTGAAAAGTGGGTGTTATATTGTACAGTGGCATTAAGTGCCGTAATGTGCACCTCTGCCTACCCCTTCGGGGATAAAAGGCGTGATGTTATGTTATGTGAAAATATTTTCTGTATAAAATCTAAGCTGGATGCGAACGAAGTTGCCATAAAATAACATGGAAATATTGGCTGCAAGCGGCCGATAGTGTATGAAAAATATTGACGGGTTGATAGAAGATATATTTAGGCAGATATACTAGATCTACATAAAGAGGTAGATACATACTGATCTAGAGGTGAAAAGTGCAGCTAGGCATGATTATACGTATACATATATACTTAATAGCAAAATATTATATCAACAATATAATACATATATACGTATATTTGGTGTGATCAACCCCAAAATCAAGTTTTTGAGGGTTTTCGATTGAGACAACTTCAAAGATAGATTTTAACGTAAAGCTGCACTGGCACCACAAACCAATTAATGAAGTTCTCTAGCTAATCCATCAAGAGTTCAACACTTTCCATGTAATCGGAACTTTTACATACACAACAGTTTTTCGAACATGAAATCCCTCTAATGAATCTGAATCCAGTACATTATTTTTATGGCATAAGCCGGTAAACGAGCAGACGGATCATCTGATAGTAAGCAAATGGCGTCGCCCATGGACACCTGGAACACCAGAGGCGTTACAAGTGCGTTACCGGCCTTTTGGGGATTAGGAGTTTGAGGATTGTTGGGGATTCAGGGATTGGGGAAGGGGAGGGTAATTGGGCCTCCGGTAACCTCACTCACACGACGAAACACAACGCAACGTTGCTTCACGTTGGCTTTCTGTGAGGCCGTGGTATCACTCCGGTCGAGCCGGCCCATTCGTGCCGAAGCATGGCTCTCCCACACACATAATCAATCAGACTGAATTTTCCACAAAACAGGGCTTTAATATTTACAAAAGTATGTTTAAAACATTATTTTGTTCAAATTACTGAAGGCTATTAATAAGTTTTGACATATACCCTAAAGATTTTAGTTTACAATCATTACTTAAGATTTTATTTCAACTTATTTACATAACATCACGCCTTTTATCCCCAAAGATAGACACAGAAGTAACACCCACTTTTCACTATTTATGTTATGAGTCCCATGTAATAGTGGGGAGTTTTTTTAAATTTATTTAAGACTACCTTGTACCCGCGGCTTGGCTAGTTTTATCCATGGGAGTCTTTGATTGGGTTAATCCTATCACCTAAGTCAGCCCATAAGGATATAAATACAAATATGTATATGAATTTTGAAAAAAAACAAAATAATTTCGTTCAGTAGTGTCAGCGTGATTGACGGACAAACATCTAAACAAAGAAACTTTCATAGTTATAATATTAGTGTGATAGTTAGAAGTGCCTACTGTTTTTTACTATGGAAAAAATATTGAACACTTATATGTATTAGATTCGATTTCGATGTACTACTTTTACGCTATTTTCAACTAAGTAATAATAATAAATATTATATACCAAAACACTTACCACATGGCCCTCAGGCCACATAAGGTCTTCATCCAAGCAGTCGGACTTGTACAGTGACGGATCCAGCACCCCAAGGTCTGCAGTGTTCGCTGCAACAAAAGAAAATCAATGTGAAATGATAGAATGGCTCAATGCTTGGTAGTTCAACTATACAAGATAGTTTACTAGTTTCAAGGCCCGAGTGAATAAGTTGCTTATGGGATGACGACGTGGGACGTGCTCCAACGTAGACCGCATCCTCACTTACTACCAGGCGAGATAGTGGTCAAACTTCGCCCCAACAAATAAAAAAAAAATACAAACATTTGGGGAAACCCAAATTTCAATTATTATACCCATTCTGTCTATATAGAATAGGTGCAATATTGTTATTTACTATGAATAGTTTGCCTCTACCCTTCACTTTGCAAAAATAATTGAAAATGGTTAACAAAATTATTATACAGGGTGAAAACATAACGCTCCCGAAACGCTGACAAAAAGGAATTACTTTTACAATTTTAACCTTTTTTGTTTTCGTGTTTTTCTTGCAACATCAGCATTGAGCAGTTGATTACAACTATTATTACATAAAAGAAACATTTAATTTCTTACTATTTTGAAAGTTAACACACAGTATAACATTAAAATATTAATTGAAATAAAAAAAATACTTTTATTTAATTTTCGTAATTGTTCTTTTCTGTTTGCGTAATAATGATAAATTAATTATTCAATGCAGTGGTTTCAGGAAGCTTTCAATTTCATTCATGAATGAGCGATTGGGTAATCCGATTAAGTACGAAACATGTAAGTATTTGCCTTTTGGTATCCGTTATACTATTTTAAACTATTTATTATAATGTTACAGCGTCAAAAATAATTACTTGATGAAATATTTCACGAAATAATTAATTTTAGAATATATATTTTTTTGTATTGTTTTTATTAATGTTCATCATAGTATTACAATAAAATCAATTTATTGAATATTTCACGGCGGTTTCACCAGCGTTTCTTAAGTAGCCTATGCGTTACTCCAGACCATAATCTACCTCTGTACTAAGTATCATCCTGGTCTCTTCAGCCGTTTTGACATGTTTGACTCACTTTTCACATATATTATATAACTAGCTACTTCCGCGCGGTTTAAACGCTCTGCTCATCTCCTATTGGTTGTAGCGTGATGTTTTACAGCCTATAGCCATCCTCGATAAATGCGCTATCCAACACAAAAATAAATAATAATTCAAATCAGACTTGCAGTTACGGAGATTAGCGCGTTCAAAGAAAAAAACAAATTCTTCCGCTTTATGTAATAGTATAAGATATAAGATTTTCAATTCCAAATTGCGAAACAATTTCCAATTTTAATTACGAGGAATTGGTAACAAATTACAGTATAATACAAGAGACAGTGATAAAATATGTTCCTGTACATACTGTACATTATAAAACGAACGTTAATATTTATCTAATACAGTTAAAATTATCATTGCAAGAGCAACTCTGCACCGTTAGAACGTCAGTGCTCACAGACTGTAATATGAATATTATTACAACGTTCATATTATTTATAGAACAATACTGCATTAAGCTTCACCATATTTTTCTAAGGAATGCGTTAATTAATGAAGCGAGCTCGTTAACAAAATGTAATTCATAATTCAGTCCTTTTATACAAAATTTGTTGCTCCTTGTTATTTTATTTTGCATTTATAAAGAAAATACATTCAGTTCCGTGTTCAGTGGAATGGTAATAAGACGTTTTGAGTATTACAAAATATAAAAGTTTTTAATGATCGTTTACCGAATCTTATTTAATACATTACCTCTATAATCTCAACTTGTTATTTCATGCTGTAAAAGTTATTCATAAAACAAGTAAACTAAAATTTGTATGAAAAGAAACTAAAACCTCAACCTTGTCAATATTAAAAAAAACTCTCTGTATTCATAACATAACATCACGCCTTTTATCCCCGAAGGGGTAGGCAGAGGTGCACATTATGCCACTGTATAATGTAACGTTCACTTTTCACTATTTATGTTATGAGTCACATGTAATAAGGGGTGAGCCTATTGCCATATACCGGGCACATTTCCAGACTCCGTGCTACTACTGAGATTTTTACAAACCCAGTAATACTTTGTCCAACACGGGAATCGAACCCGAAACCCCTTGCCCGGCAGTCACACTTGCGATCACTCGGCCAATGAGGCAGCCAACTCTCTGTATTCATAAATAAATATTGTACCATGATCCAACCGAAACCACAACACATTCGATCATGGTTTGAAATATATACACATGTTATTCAGGAAAATATAAGCTAACCATAATTCCAGCAGAGCGTTCATTATGTAAATCGTATTACCTACTTGTTGCTTTCAGCATATACAGAATGCTTGTTTAGACGACATTGTATGGAGGAGTCTTCAGAAGCGTTATGACAAGAATTCGCGAAATTGGATGAATGTGGGCGAAACACGAGTGCTTACACGATTCATGGAAAGTAAACATAATTTCAATTTCCAAACGAATATTGCGATCGATTACTCGAATCGGTTTCCTCAAACATCGATTACAATGATCAAAAACATGGTTTTGCCGATAAATTCTGTTTAGAATTGGATTTGCTGACAAGTTTAGTTTGTTAAGTAAATGTTATGAAAGGCTTGAGTGAGAAGACAAATATTAAATATTGAGATACTTCTGTTGATTTAAAAAACATCACTTCTTGTTTTCCGTTCGAACTGCATGGTGGGCGACGATTTTGCAATTGTCATAACTAATATTAATGAGGTTTTAGAAAAGTATTTGCTACACTTAGGAGAAGGTTTTAGTTTATTAATGAACCGACTTAAAGGGGGGAGGGGGGGAGCTGAAGTCGATTTTTAAACGTAGTTCATAAAAGAATAATTTTAAATAACAATATTATTGGCATCAATATTTTATTATTTTAAATATTCACCATAGCACAGTAATTAGAAACGCCAGAAATAGTGGAGAACAACAGCTTTTTAAACAAAATCTTTTAATGAATGGTCATTAAATAACTATTAGAGAATAGTTAACGACTGCGCAGAAATCTTGTTCTCAATAATTTTAAAATGTTGTACTAAAAGTTAATTAAGAGTTCAACTGTTAATAAACAACAAATTAAGTGTAATTAAAATGAAATAAACTCGACTGTAAAATAAATTGTGAACATAGTTTAAAATAATTACATTTTAATTCAGTATATACAGTTTCAATAATAAATAGCCAAAGAATTATTTAAATAAGGATGGAATAAAGTCAATAATAGTATTTTATGTTACAAGGCATTTATGCAAACGTAAAAAATCTCAAGTAAAAATCAGCCTTAGTAGTAAAAACCCAAGACAATATTTCCCTAACCCAAACTCTAATGAATATCAGTCAACCCAAATATTGTAGTAGCATAACAAGGTTTATTTTCTTTACGCCTACGCTTTTGAACCGTAGCAACAGTCATGTCACGTAGACTCAGTCTACGGCGTAGCCTGTAGCCAAGATCTACGGCGTAGCTCGTAGGCGTCTACGATTTTACGATTCTCCTAAGAGCTATCTGTTTACAGTATCCTTTTAGAAAAGTAATCCAATAGAATGATAGTCAATATTCTGAATGTGTTATTTATACGGAACAGACTATTTGGGGAGTTTTTCTCGTTGGATTTGTGTACTGTTACGTGATAATGGTGATGAAGTGCCTGAACAGGTTTAAATAGAAAGTTCGCGATTTTTTCTTTCGCTGTTTTAATCTATTTTAAACCGAGTCTTATTCGAAAGGATGTACATACACGATAGTTATCTGTCATGGTGCTGGCCTTAGTAGCAACAACAAGTGAAATGAAATTCTTAGGATGATTGATTAAAGTGTTCAGAATTTAGACACGACCTCTGTCTTTGTTCAGTTGTGGCATAACAGTAACATGCCGGTGTGTGTTCCTCTGCAGTTGTAAAAGACACGTATTATAAACCCTTTTCGAACAATTGGACCCTGTTAAGCAAAAAAGATCTAGCCAACATTTTATTAATTTTGAGTAAATGAATTTAAAGTTTAGCAGACAATAATAAAATCATATGATACAGTACCTATTTATTAACGTGATACAGTACCTATTTAATAAAGTCCAATTAGGTTTTTAAGAAGAACCTGGCCTGGAAATGGACTTAGATATTTGTATAAGCTAATCTGTCTACTTAGAATATAATTCTGTATTCTCATTATGTAAAAGTGTGGGTAAACAATCCTTCGGCACAGTAAACAAAGTAAAGCAACGCTTGCGTTGTGTTTCGTCGTTTGAACGAGGTTACCAACAGCCAAATTACGTCCCCCCCTGAATGCCCAACAATCCTCAAACTCTTAATCCCTAAAAGGCCACTAGCGCACTTGTAACGCCTCTGGATTCCAAGTATCCATTGGCGACGCCGATTACTTACTATCAGGTAATCCGTCTGCTCGTTTCCCGGCTTATCTCATAAAAAAAACAATTAATAATATCAGTAAACTACTACATCATGTTTTGAAAGCAAATAATACAAATGCGATTGTTAATGAGCCTTTATCTGAACACACACATTTAACTACAGTTGTCTAACAACATAAATAACAGGCAGTAACAAAATATCGAACTAAATATAAACATAATATGTGTGTATGTCAATATTTTCAACTAATTATAAATTCTGAACAATGAAACATTTTGGTTAAATATTTGCTCAAAAACAAAGTCGCATTCAATCTGAAGTTTTATTACTTGGTTTGGCTGAATTTTGTATTAAGACAAATATTAGTATTTATTGAAACATACTAATAAGTAAAACAAGTTGTAATGTAATTAAAATATAAGGTCATTGCTCTTTATTTTATGTATGCTCTTATTTTGAATTAATTACCATGCAGCATAATGTGGAAGCCTTTATTTTATAATCATAATTTAACTAAGTAATGAATGCATAATATTTATTTCTACGACAACTAATGTAAGCTTTGCTAATTTTGATATTGGTTAAGTATATAAAAATATTAAGCTGAAACAGTGGTTTACACACTTCTTCACAACTTCTTCACAAACAATGTTG